GTTCCAGTGCTGCAGTATCAGCAAGTAATGAGACGCGTAGGGAAGAAGCTAATCCATCACCAAATTCAGGTGAGGTATTGCAGCTCCTAAATATTTCATGGTCTTAAAGAAAAAAATAAATTAAGGGTTTGAATAAATTTGGTGTCACTGAAAATCACTGTCTTTCCTCTGGAAGTCATAGAGATGGTGTTTCCATTCCCTCTAGTGGTCCTGGCTTTCAAAATGGTGCTGGTGACTTAAGGAGCATTAGCCAGTATTTCCTGGAGAATGACAACACTGATGAAACGGGGAAGAGATAACAGGGTATATTAGATACCTGAAGCTTCTCAGTGGTTTGATGAAAATGCGTGTGTAGTACATCACCTATAAAGAACACGTGACAGTGGGAACTAGCTTGAACTGAAAACATCTCCTTTCCTAAAAATGGAAATAAAACTCCGTCGTGATAAGAATAGGGATTTTCTAGCAATAGTGTGTTAGAAGACTAGCCTATATGGTCACTAATTGTAGTAAATCAGCATGCCAGAAGGTACCAGTGTGAAGCTCCTCTTTGCTGCTAAGTGATAATTTACAGAAAGAAACAGGCTAAAATGCAGTATACCATTTTTGTAACATCTGTCCCTTCTCTTTCCAGGAGGGGGAGTCGGCAAGCAGAAGCTAATCGGCAAGTCAAACAGTAGGAAGTCTAAGTCTCCGATTCCTGGACAGGGATATTTGGGAACCGAAAGACCTTCTTCTGTCTCATCTGTACATTCAGAAGGGGACTACCACAGACAGACTCCAGTGTGGGCCTGGGAAGATAGGCCTTCATCAACAGGTGAGAAACGGGTTTCTTTCAAACTTAATAAACCAGATGTGGTATTTGTAGAAAGGTCAGATGTAGATATACTGTAACACTGGTATATTGGTCAAAAGATTACAGCATGTAAGGACTTTCTGAAACAGATTTTCTGCTAGTTGTCACAACCAAAACCAGACTATCTTTCAGACACAGATCTCTTAGAACAGCTCATGTTTTTGACTTGAAGGAACTCTCTTTGATTCAGGTTCAACACAGTTTCCTTACAACCCATTGACGATGAGGATGCTCAGCAGTACACCGCCAACATCCATTGCGTGTGCCCCACCGTCCATGAGCCAAGCAACCACTCACCAACAGAACAGGATATGGGAGCGAGAGCCTGCACCACTGCTTTCGGCACAATACGAGACTCTGTCTGACAGTGATGACTGAACTATGCAGATTTTTTTTTTTTTTTAATTTGCGGGTCAAAAAAAGAAATCTATTTTTGACTTGTGCCCATAGAGACTTTCCAAGAGAGCAAGGGCCACACAATGAAGAATTAATGGAGAGTCCATTAAATGCCTTCTGCACAGGCCATGTGTTGGAGGATCGTGATCAAGAAGGTTGACTTACTAAAGATAAATATGTAAAGAGTTTTTAAAAATGTGGACTATTCCTGTTCTACATCTATTTGTAAAGAAAACCATAATGTCTTTAAATCATTCTTCTGTAAATAGAGAGTACTTTTTGCAGTGTTTTTTCCCTTGCTATAATATCTGGTGTACTTATGTTCAAATCATTGCCTAAACTTTGGGGGTCATTTTGTAATTTTTTTTAAGCATTTTCTCCAGTGTAGAGTACTCTTCATAACCCTAGCCTCCCTACCAGCCTAGCCTAACCATAACCCTAGCCTCCCAACCAGCCTAGCATCATTGTCCATTTAATGCCATGCCACTTCTTGCAGGCATTGTGCTTTTATATAATTTTTTTCCCTAGACACACTTTCTCAGTGGTGTTCAAGCTCTTGTGAAAATGTTGATTTTTAAGACTGACCCCTTAATGAATTCTGTACATTAACATAGTCCAGTTCGCTGGAATAAGATGATATATTTCTTTGAATTTTAAATTCTGCCACATTGTAAATTTTTGGTGCAGTTGGTTTTATTTAGCAACACTGCAGAAATATTATTGCATGGGTATGTTATGGTTCATTTTTAAAAGGAAAAAAAAAAAACTAAACAAAAAGAACAGCTTCTGGAGGCATACCTCACTGTTATGCACACTGGGAATTTTAAATGTGCCCCAAAAGCCTATCTTAGTGTTTTCTGTTTCTGCATTGTATGCAGTCAAAACAGGCTACTAAATTTTACTGTCATATTTAACCATAGCGAATGGCTTATCTGAACAGAGGCTCTGGGTGGGTTGATAAATCCTTTAAGAAGAAAAACCTCTACATCCCAAGTTTAAATAAAACAAAATGCTTTTATAGAATAATTGAGCAACACACGAGTCAACTACTTGGCTTCTGTTACAACCAGTTTGAAATAGGTACTGTGATTTTTACCTTCCTCCAGTCTGATTTTAAAATTGTTATGTACAATTACTTTACAGTCTGTGTCCCCATCCCAATCCCTAGCCCTATAAGCAAGCTTTTGGTGGAAGTCCTTACAAATACTTGGCTTAACTCCTAAAGTGTGCAATACTTGTTAGGGTGATTTTTTTTTTTTTTTTTTTTTAAATTGTATATGGTACTAGGAGAGTCTCCTTAATCATTCATCTATCATTGCCTGCTAGAATATGCTTGTAGCTCATGTATACGTACCTCCGGTTAGTGATATCACAGGGTGTCCTGACATCCGTCTTCAAGAGCGTCTTATTTTTTGCTGCACTGACCTCAGGAAGTGAATTTTAATCTTCTGGGGTAGAAGGACTGATTTACAGATAGCACTGAGTTGGGGGGTGGCATGGCCTGTCAGATTCCAAACTGCTTTTGCATCTCATTGATGAACAGTCTTTGCTTTGAAGTTCTTTTCCAGTCAAAATATTTTTAATTTAACACTGTATTTGCAATACATTGTATGGAAGGTATAATGTAGCGGTGAACCTTAAGCCATGTAAGCTCTACATCTTATGGAAGGACTGTAATGGTCCAGTTACAAACAGGAAGAAGTACAGAACTATTTATCGATAGCAAATTTACTTGGAGTACTTCAGAGGAAAGCCTTTTTGCCCTAAGTGTGGGAAAGAAAAAATCCAAAGGAACTCATTTGGAAATTTGACACTGTGTTGCAACTACAGAATTATTTTGCTACTTTTTTTTAAACACTGCATCAGAGTAGATCAGTTCGCAGTCTTAAATCTCCTTGCAGTCTTTCTCTAAGAAAGTTTTTTCTCACCCTCCCATCCTTTACCCTTTTGGCTTAAAGTAGTGAATTTTTCATCATTTGTAGACCTGTGCTCTTATTTTAACTTTTTTGTTCCCATAGCAACGTATACTGGAAAACAAGTTGATCTGCCCTTTTTGTGGATTTAAATTTGGAGTGGAGAGTTAAGTTCCATTCTAAAACTCACTTGTTCTCACTTTCTTAGTGTAACAAATACAACGTGAAAGAGGCATGTACAGACAAATGTCTTTGCTAACTGTACAGTAAGTATAGCATGTTCATTGCAAAGCTTCATGTTATTGCTGCTGCAGCAGCAAGATACCCAAAGTAGGATAGTCACTTTCTCCTAAGATACAGCTTGAGTGGCATTTGCACATAAAATGTTGCTGCTTTTTTGTTTGTTATCAGAGTTCTAACTTCTCCAGTGTAAAAAACCGCTCCAGAGCCTAAGTTAGGGTTTACCACAATTCCAGTAATCTTCAAGTATGGAATTACATCTGACCTGTTTCAAACAGGAAGGTGTTTATAAATCATGTTTACAAAGTGTAGTTTACTACAAATTTTTAACTGATTTCTGATCAGCGCTTTCACAATGCTTTCATCTTGATATGTTTCGTGATTCTGATATGAAATCATTTAAGACTTGAAAAACCCATGCATCATAAAACTCAACTTTTTTTTTTCCACACAATGTCTTCAGTAGACAGTGACTTCTGGATTCAGACCAATCAATAAAGGGGATCAGTTCTCCATTTGCCTTTCCTGTGTCTCCCTCTTGTTTTGCAGCATCAAGCTGTGTTCATGAGAACAGGCTAAACACTTTCCTTAAGGGGTGCTGTAGGGTTCCGAGTTAACACTGCTGGAGTGTCTAAGGTCTGCCACTTAAAAACCAAAAACCAGAACTTCAAAGATGACTGGCTGTAATGCGTTAGAGCCTTTCTGTTTGTACAAGTGTGCCTGTAACAGCCGTATTTTTACTTCCTAGCTTGCTGAGAACAAAGCTGTATATGTGACTTGAGTTTTTCCAGCTTCAGTGACCATCTCCTGCATGCCTCTTCTTAGCTCAAAGTTAAGCAGAGTGGAAGCCACTAATGCTACTGTAAGTAAACTAATAGTGATGCAATTAACATTGAGATATACCAAACAGCTGAAGTTCTTAGAAATGAGAGGTTAAAATAATGCTTGGTTAGTGACAGAATTACAGTTCTACTATCCTAGCTAAATATGGATTTGATAACTTCTAGTTTAATTCTCCTTTGTCTTTAACATTAGGCTTCCCTGCAGGGCAGAACTGAAAAATTCTGTTGTATAAGCAGGCTGTTCATACTAGATTCACATGAAGGCATGTACCTTACAAACATGACAGTATGTACATACCACCTTTTCCAACAGGAAGCCTCAGCATTCTAGCACTGTCCTATCCAAGAAAGGAGGACAGCTTTGGCACTTACTGTGCTCTTGATTGGAGTAAGGTAGCTGAGTGTTTTATTTCTCACAGCAGCTCTGCTTTGGTAATATAATCTCACCCCTCCTCTGGGGGGCATATTCTATCTTTGGATGCCAGATGCTTTGAAGAAAACCATTTAGACTTCAGACAACCTGTTTGAAAAGGACATGGACCTACAGCTCTCTCATAGTACGGGCATAGTCTGGGAAATGGTCTGTTGAAGCTAATACGTACTGAACTGTAGCACTGACACAAATACACTCCTTGACTTAACTGCAAGTATTAATACCAGGCTAGACTTGCACTTTGCTGGCAGTCAAGACAAAGTTAAATCATTAGCACAGTAGGTCCCTCTAACCATAGACTACACCACAAATTTACATAGTTAAGATTTCACAACTTTATTTTGGGCTAAGTTGTTAGGCAATAGCAGCCCTTCTTGTTAAGCAGTCCTTAAACTCCTCATTGTTCTTCCCCTGGAGAATTGCACCAAACTGGTCCCAGGCTGCTTGTATTGACCAACCCTTGCTGCTGTCAGCCACCTCAAGGTTGGGCTCCTTGGCCAAACTCATTTAGAGCCCTTTCTCCTCTTGGCCAGCTCAGCTAGTTCTTCCTGGATATGCTGGACAGAAGCAACATCTCCCTTCTGTTGTGCCTGCTTGAGAGCTTCTTTGTACACTTGTTTTGCTTGCAGAAAGTCTTCTGTAGCAAGAGGAAAAAGTGGCATGGCTAGGCAACTACATTGCCCATTTTCAGAGTCCCTTCCTGAAGCTGAGCACATGCATAGGACATGCAAAAGACTACTTGGAACACTTCAGGAACCAGGGAGGTTCAGAAAACATTCAGCATAAGGTGCCAACTAGAAGAGCCAATTAGAGCAGCAATCACAGGACAAGGTGCTGCTTTAGCATTAAGATCTGATTGAAACAAGTCTCAAGCATGTCTTATGTCCTTTTGGAACCAGTTACTATGAGGACATGCAGGACAAGGGAAACTAGATTCCCTGGCAACCTTTTAAGTCAGATGCACCAGTCTTGGGACAGGATCCTTCAGCAGCTGAATTCAATTTGAACATAATACAAGTTGCCTACACCAAGTCAGACAACCTACTGCTTAAACTAAAAATAGTAACACACAAATAACACTGTAGTCCAATCCTACAGTACAGGTATCTGCAGTCAGCACAAGTACAGTGACACAGGCTGGACATTTATTTACTTACCTTTGTGCATCAGAATTGCTGCCAGGTTATTCAGCACCATGTGCTCCTCAGGGTGTTGAGTCTCCTTTGCCAGCTCAGCTGCCCTCTTCACATAGGAGTATGCCTCATCGTAGTGCCCCTGAGCATCCAGTACAGTTGCTAAGTCATTCATCAGGACCACAGTCTGCACCAGGACAAAAAAGGAAGCCTCAGAGCAAGACTTGTGTGGAAGTCTGGGGCAGTAGAAGCATCACATTCATACCCCTGTCACATTAGTAAAAGTAGTATTTCCCAGAGAAGCTTTCAGTAAGAAAGTGTCTTATATTTATATGTCAGCATGCTGCATGCTCATTCTTCCTGGCAGGAAAACAGAAGCTAATTCAGTGCTGTGTACACTTGATGCCAGCAAAGCTGCTTTTAAGGCTGCCTCATTCCCCAGGAGATCAGGCTTTCTATTGTACACATCACCTGTGGATGAGTCTCTCCCTGAACATCATTTGATATCTGCAGAGCCTTCTCATACATTTTTTGGGCCACTGGGAGCTGGTTAATGTTTAGGAGATAGCGAGCATAGGAGTCTAGGCTCATCCCAAGCAAGAGACGGGTGTTGGCCTTTTCTTCAGCTGCAAATAGAGAGGAGTGGAAGTGATCACTTCTACAAGATCAAGCATGAGTTTCCATCCTACAAAAGTAGGAAACTCATGCAGTGTGAAGACAACAGATTGACATGAAGATGGAATATGGAAAGCAACATCAAGGACAGGGAAATGGAGAAAAGATGATGAGAGAAGCCTTCGACAGACATGGCATTCCCACCTGGTAAGACATCCTCAGGCAAGTCCTTTTGCTTGGCAATCTTCTCCTCTAAGGTCAGGATGCAGAACTCGTAGCCAGCCAGGGCTAATTTGTGCCTGCAAAGTACAACAACTCAGCAAAGCAAGGCTCCTTCCATCCCTAAAAGGACAGATATGAACACCCTCATTCTAGAGGGCCTGTAAGACAGCTTTTCCCCTGCACCAGAACCTTCTTGCCCTCAGTGCTCTCTTCTTGATTATGGCCTGGACCTTTCTCTTGACCCATGGACAAAGGGATTCAAGAGGTGGAGAGGGCCCCCCCTTTCCCCAAACAAGGCCAGCTAAGGCAACCCATGCTCATGCTCCACTGAAAAAAGAAGCCACAAGTTACCACCACCAACCAAATGCTTCAAAAGCCTTCTCTCCTGTGAGGTGTGGATTTAAGACTAAAGAGCGATGTCCTCTATGGCTACTTCTGCCCTAAGCTGGGCAGGTCATAACAGCAATCACTGTGCTGCATGACAGCAGGTAAGCAAATATCATGCCTGTGGGAACCTTTATGTTGATGGTATCTTGTCACACCAAAGCTTCCTCAGACACTCTATTCTTAAAGAGCCCCTGCTTGGCCACCGCTGCCACTGTGAAGCTGAGATGAAAGCAGAAGATGGCTTTAGCAGGGAACTCACTGTTTCTGAGCTGCATAGATACTGGCCAGCTTGAGGGACATCTCAAGGATTGCATTGTCATCCTGCCAGGAGGACACACAACACAACTGTTACTCTTCTTGCATCTCCCCAAAAGAAACATTACTTTACCAGAGAAAAAGTTTAGACCTTGGAAACACCCATCCTGTTGTCTCCAGAGCTGCCATCCCCTTAAAGGAAGTTCTTGAGAAGCTGGCAAGCTCATAGCTAGTATTGCAAATTCCCAGTAGGCAGTATTACAGCACAAGAAATAGACCAAAGAATTGTTAATACTTCAAGCTGAAAGCCTTTACCAGAAGAACATACCTCCTTTGTGTCCCCTGCAAGCAAATAGCTCATACTTGCTTTGTAGAGCTTTTCTGCCTGAAATGAGAATTTTGAAGAGAATACTGAGGAATGATGGCATTTAAAACAAAGTATCTCTGCCCTTTATGGAAGCAGACTACTGGGAGAAACCTGTCTCACAATTTGTGGCATTTACACTGTATGTCAAGACCAGTGAAAGGCTAACCAGAGCCCAATGGTACTGCCAATTAGTAGGGTCCTTTCAGTTAGGACTGAAAAGGACTTTAGGACTCCTGCACCAGCCATGAGTTTCCCACATCTGTGTGCCTTCAGGGATTCTCCTTGGGACAGCCATCTAAATGCTTGACTGTGGCATTTGACAGTAAGTATTCCTTCCCTTGCACACCATGTTGGAGCTCAAAATTTAACTGTGAAAGCACCTTTCTTAGCAGCACGTGCTCCATGGGACTGCAGTCCCAAAGCAAATTATTCTGCCTTGGACTGCAAGATCTCTGCCTCACAACTCTCAGGATACACACCTTCATGATCTTGGACATGACAAGACCTTGCACAAGATGTCAGCCTCTTACATTCAGTGGGAAAAAAACCAAGAGTTACTCACATTGTCCAGCTGTCCCCGCATGAAGGCCACGTTTGCCATCTGGAAGAGACAGGCAGTGCTGAAGCTCCATAAAGCCTCAACACAACTCTTCCTTCTACCTACAGCCCCAGCATACGGCACAACACCCCCCCGAAGGGAACTGCAGCCCCACGGCGACTTCCAGCAGGGGCCAGACACGACGTGGGACAGCCCCGAGCAGGAGGGCGGCCAGCCCACCCCCTGCCACCCCACCGGCGCCTCACCATGCTGTAGGTGTAGACGATGGCTTT